GAACTTAATTAGTATTTCTCAATCAATTACATTTTCTCGTAATTGAAAACAGTGAAAATGCAAAAGGAAATAATAAAATAGGATTTTTTTTTAATTCCCTGATAAAGAAGTGTAAAGGGTGATAAACAGAAAATGGAATATTATTTCCCTGATAAAGAAGTGAAGTGTAAAGGGTGATAAACACAAAAATGGAATTTCATTGAACTCTTTTTTTTATTGACTTTTATTAACTCGGTATTGTATTTTCTTAACGAATTTGCGAGTACAATGTATGATTCAGATCCGTATCACTGTGAGAGGAGATATCACTGTTGGCGTTCTCTGGTTGGCTAATTGGTCGTTTGGTTGTTTGAGTGGTTGTCCTTTTTTCTTCTTGTTTTCTCTCTCTCTCTTCTCTTTCTCTTTCTTTCTTTTTCTTTTTCTTTTTCTTTTTCTTTCTCTCTTCTCTCTCTCTCTCTCTCTCCTCTCTCTCTCTCTCTCTCTCTCTCTCTCTCTCTCTCTCTCTCTCTCTCTCTCTCTCTCTCTCAGAAAGAAAAAGCGAGAAACAGACAGACACAGAGAGAGAAATAGACAGACAGAGAGAGAAAGAGACAGACACAGAGAGAGAAAGAGCAGACCCAGAGAGAAAGAGACAGAGAAAGGAAAATACAGACAGAGAGAGAAAGGGACAGACAGAGAGAGAAAGGGACAGACAGAGAGAGAAAGGGACAGATAGAGAAAGAGAAAGACAGAGAGAGAGAGGAACAGACGCAGAGAGGAAGAGACAGACACAGAGAGAGAAAGAGACAGATACAGAGTGAGGAAGAGACAGACACAGAGAGAAAGAGACAGACACAGAGAGAGGAAGAGACAGACACAGAGAAAGAGGCAGACACAGAGAGAGAAAGCGAAAGACAGAGAAAGGAAAAGACAGACACAGAGAAAGAGACAGACAGAGAGAAAGAGACAGACGGAAAGAGAAAGAGACAGGCAGACACAGAGAGAGAAAGAGACAGACAGAGAGAGAAAGGAACAGACACAGAGAGAAAGAGACAGACACAGAGAAAGGAAGAGACAGACACAGAGAGAGAAAGAGACAAACACAGAAGAGAAAAGGGAGAGACTATCGAAAGACACGAAAGGGAAGTAAGGGAGAAGAGAAAGACAGAGAGAGACGATACTACAGAGCAAAGAGAAAACGAAAAAAAAGAAGAGAGATAGAGGAAAGATTATAAAGGAGAGAAAAAGGGGAAAAAAAAAAAGTGTGGGACAGAAGTAGAGGGGGGGGGGTTAAGGGTTGGATGAAGTTATCTCATATTCCCAGAAGTTGCCCTTTGCACCAATCCCAGAGGTCAGAGGTCATACACGGTCAATAATGCTTCCGCTACTCAGCTTTAAAACCAAAGCACCGCCCTGGCTTTGCCTCGCGTTCGACGATTTTCTCAAAAGCTCGAAAAAAAGGTCATTGATTTCTGACAAAAGGGAAACAAGCCATTGCATTTGCACTTGCAGGAGTAGTACTTGTTGGGCCATGTCTTTGTTGTGGGTATGTATTAGTGTTAGTGTGTATTAGTACTTGTGTTTTTTTTTTTATGTGTGTGTGTTGTGTGTATTTGTTTTGTATTAGTACTTGTGCTGTGTGTGTTGTGTGTATTTGTTTTGTAGTAGTTTTTGTGTGTGATTTGTTGTGTATTATGTGTGTGTTGTGTGTATTTGTTTTGTACTGTGTATTTGTTGTGTATTAGTGTTTGTGTGTATGTGTGCTTATGTTTTGTTATTTGTGTATTAGTGTGTTTTTGTGTGTATTTGTTGTGTATTAGTGTGTGTGTTGTGTGTATTTGTTGTGTGTACTTGTGTTTTTTTGTGTGTATTGTTGTGTATTAGTGTGTGTTGTGTGTATTTGTTGTGTGTACTTTGTTTTTGTGTGTGTATTGTTGTGGTATTAGTGTGTGTGTTGTGTGTATTTGTTGTGTGTACTTGTGTTTTTTTGTGTATTTGTTGTGTATTAGTACTTGTGTGTTTTGTGTGTTGTGTGTATTTGTTGTATATTAGTATTTGTGTTTGAGTGTGTGTATATTTGTTGTGTATTAGTATTTGTGTTTGTGTGTATGTGGTGTGTTGTATTTGATGTGCATTAGTACTGTATTTTTGTGTGTTTGTGTGTTTGTTGTGTATATTTGCTGTATTGTTGTATTTGTACTAGTGTTGTTTGTGTGTATTTGTTGTATATTAGTATTTGTGTGTTGTGTGTATCTCTTGTGTATTAGTACTTTTGTGTCTGCTGTGTGCATTTGTTGTTGTACTTGTGTACTGTATTGTGTTTTTGTTGTGTTTTTTGCCATTTGTACTTTTGTTGTTTTCTGTTTGTTATATGGGACTTATTGCTTGTGTTATTGTTGTTTTGTTACATTTTGTGTACATGTATTTGCTGTGCGCTTGTTTTTGTCATATGTACATGTATGTATTTGCTGTATTTGTTCTTTTGTTTTGTTGCACTTAGTGTGTGTTTACTGTTTTTGTCATGTTCTTGTTTTGTGTACTTGTTTGTGCTTCCCATGTGCACTTATGCGTTTTTTTCTTGTGTGTGCATGAGTATATTTGTTTTATGCCTGTGTATTAATTTGTAGTGTGTACATGTGTACATTTTTTCGTATGAAGTTCTATGCATCTGTTTATTTTTCGTGTGTATTTTTGAGTATTGTCTTGTGTACTTGTGTACGTTTTATTGTTGTCTGGACTCGCGTGTATTTGTCACTTCTACTTTGGAGTGTGTTCTTGTGTATACTTTATTATGTGTGTATGTGTATTTGTTGTGTGTACTTGTGTGTATTAGTCGCGTATTCTTGTGTGTTTTGCTTGTGGAATGTGTTTTTTGTTGTGTATACATGTGCGTATCTGTCTTGTGATGTATGTGTCTTTGCCAGAAAGATAGACACACACACACACACACACACACACACACACACACACACACACACACACACACACACACACACACACACACACACACACACACACACACACACACACACACACACACATCAATAATAATAATAATAATAATAATAATAATAATAATAATAATAATAATAATAAGCTGATAATTTAGGGTTTGCTATGACAGCTCATATGCATCAGTCATATTGTGGTTTGTCCGTTTATTGTGCTTCTAAACTACCCCCCCCCCCCTGTGTGCGAGGAATGGCCGGGGTTACCATCCACTGTCGGTGCGGGAAATTGAACGCAGGTCAGCTACGATGCTTCACACAGCGCTGTGTTTGTGTTGTGTGTGTGTGTGTGTGTGTGTGTGTGTGTGTGTGTGTGTGTGTGTGTGTGTGTGTGTGTGTGTGTGTGTGTGTGTGTTATATAGGACGAGATCGTTATTGACTCGACATTTAAAAGATGCATTGGTTTATGATTGTAAAGATGTATAGACCCCACTGACGTTTTTCGTTATGTTCCTTTTGTATTTTGAAGGTAAATCAATATAGCAAAAATTTGTGTTATAAACTAATAGAGTAAATTATGATGATTACCTATAAATGCTTGGTTTACTTAAATTATTACAATTCAATGGGAGGGAGGGGGAGTAATAAGCAGGGATATGGTTACCATCTTGTGCAGACGACAACCTTGCTCTCCTCCCGAACAAAGATAAGTGCTAGTATTAAAAATCGTGTTTTGCTCGGAAATTGAAGTTTGTGATAATTAACAAGTGGATACATATAATTTTTGAATCCCCATGTATTGAATTGTCATAATTGAGACGACGTCCTTGCTCTCTTCCCGCGCACAGAAAGAAAGTTTGATGAAATGGAGCAACAACACACCCGCCATTACTGCTAGCTGTGGTTGTTAGGAAGTATTTATTCAATATATTTTTTTCTTTTCTTGTCTTGTCTTTCCCCGTGGATAAACAACGGAATTTGTCGGAGGTGACAATACCGATTGGGTCAGGTCATGAATAGCAAAGGAAACAGTAGAAAAGACTAGAGTGTAATAAAGCGAAATTATGAAAATTAGAAGGGAAGGTTCGATCAGTTTATTGACCAGTAAATTATCAGTTTAATAACGGAAAATATGAGGAAGTGAGGGTGAGGGTTTTGATCCCGTCTCACGTATGCTTTTATGTTCATTGTAGGAAAAGGGAGTGTAGAGTTAACCTTAGACATGAATTAAGTTACTAGCAGAGATTATTCCTCGTTTTTTTTTTTTGTGTGTGTTTTTTTTTATGTTTCTTCTATGATTTACATTGTTATAGGCCACCTGTTTATTATTATTTGTTTATAAAAAAAACTATTTTTTAAAAAAAATTCTATAACTGTTGTAGCTTTTGCACACATTCGACAGTTATAAATTCAGTCCAAACCATGAGCCTTAAAATAAGGGGAGTCGAAATTGGGGTTTCTCGGGGTTTCTTTAAAATCCAAAACCCCGGGTGGTGGTGGCGATACCAAAACAGTATTATCATTTGTATTCAAATCAATACTGACGAACTAGCAACAGCAATAAATAATCAGAATATGTTTTATTTTCGCATGTGTGTGTGTGTGTATTACATATGTACAAATATGTATCTTTATATACTGTATATGTGTCTGAAACCTAAAAGCATACTTTGGAGAGGCTAGGGACTGATAAATTTGGTACGTCAGGGATGGATAAGCCCGGATAAGCAATCAGATGCCTTCCCTTCTGATTCCAATGTACTTCAACCATGAGACTTTATTGCAAAATTTTTTGTTTTTTTTTTTCTTCTTTATACGCAATTTTTGTTACTGACTGGAATATCCCCCTGGATGAGGTACCAAAGTAACTCTTCTCAGCAGTGTTGAAGTTGTGTTGAGTTTGTACGACCTTGAGCGAAAGAGGCCTGAGTTGTGGCTTGTGGGCTGTTTTGTACATTGTCTTCTTGCGCGACTGTGGGTTGATATATATGTGCCCACCTGTCTTTCCAAACATTCCTGTTTTGTTGTGATTATATTGGAGGGACACCAATTTCTCGTAGGGTACTTAATTCATTTTTACAATATAAATTTATTTTCACAGACGTTTTTGATAAGATTGGATATTGTAAATGATACAAATCACTCAGATGGGTTTTCCGAGACGGCAGAGTCACCATAGGCGCATGCCTGAAGGAACCGCACGATTTCCGGAGCGCCCTCTCCCATCTTTGGTTTCTCGAAGTCCCCCCCGAAGTAGCCCCTCACCTGGGCGGAGACGAGGGGCTCTTCCCTCCCTTCAACGGCGGAGCACATGCCTTCGAAGACGCCCAGCATCCAGCGAACAAGCTCCGTCGGCGCCCATCGCACGTCGTCTTTCCTCTTGATTTCCAGCTGTCTTAGGAAGGAGTTCTTGAAGGCGAATCCCGTGGCGAGCGGGATGTGCCACGTCCTGAAGACCCACCAGGTGTAGCGCCTCTTGACGTTGTAGGGCATCCACGGCTCGGCCTTCATGCGGGACAGGAGGGTCTTGCACGCGAGGTACACGAGACGTTCCTCTTCCTCCAAGTCGCTGAGCACCGCGACCTCGGCCTCGCAGAAGCTTAGCCTCCATTCCCCGTCGGAGGTGTTGCTGAGGTAGATGTGGTGGTCGTCGGTCGTGAGGTAGGGCCTCCTGATGCGCGGGTGCCAGGGAGCGAGCACGACAGGCACGAAGTCCACGTTCACTAGCAGGAGGGGGTAGAACGTCCCCTGCCACGCGAGGGCCATCGTCGAGCCCACCTGAGTCCTTCTCAGGCCGGGGGGCACGAGGCTCAACCTCTCATCGTAGATACTGTGCTTCGACAGGCATTTTTCTATCAGATCGTGAAAGGTGTCGATTAGTTTGCAGCCTTGGAAGCTGTCGTGGGGAGTCTGCACATTCAGCTTCAGTCTGTGCCCTGTTTGGTGCATCTCAGTAGCGTTAAGTTCAGAGACGTGGAGATGGAAGTCTGGGGCGCTGTTGAGCACAAGACTAATATCAAACTCGTCGGGAGCGTAGAGTCGGGTTCCGTCGGCCGAACTCCCGACCAGCCGAATTTCTCCCGCGAACAAGCTATTTTGGCCGCGAATCTTATCTGCTATCATTTCACACTCTTGAATTACAGCGTCTCGGATTTCCTTCGCTTCCCCGCTGCCGAAATCGACCGAAATATCATTCATTTCGTCGACTAGTTCGGAAAACCTAACATTTTTCAGAATATTTCGCATAGCCTTTCCCGGATCATTACTCTCCCATTCATCATCAGAATCGTCGGGGATTTCATCTTTTTTGTGCAGCTGTAGATAACGCTTAAAATTTTCGCAAATCTGGCTTGGCGTGGTTCCGGCCCTGCACCGTTCCTCGTGAAGGGAAACGGACGCGATGTACTGGAAGGTGACGATGTGGCCGAACATGGCCGCGAGGTGGAGGGCGGTGTGGCCATAGCGATCGGCGAGGCGAAGGTTGGCGCCGAGACCCAGCAACAGGGCCACGATTTTGGTATTCCCGTGGGCGGCTGCCTGGTGGAGGGCGGTAGATGACGTAGGAACATCCACCACCACGTCGCAGGGGACCTTGCCCACGGTGAGGAGGAGGAA